CAGGAAAAGATGGATTTAAACGATCGACTGATGAAGTTGTTGAAACGATGACTCTATTAGCATTGGCTCTAAGCTAGACAAAACTAGCAGCCATTTAAAGTAGGAAGCGACATTTGAAATGTTCAAGCAGCTCCGGGGGAGAGCCACCTATATATTTTGAAGACTGGAGCAGTGATACGCTTTTCTACCCGTACGCTATCGCGGATATCGCAAAGTTTGGCTCCAACGCAATTTCTCTTATATTCAGCTCCAGTCGACGACGCGGAGACCGATGAAAGGCTGCTAGTTGGGCGGGGGGGGGGAGGGGGTAGCCGAATGCCACGTCCGAAAATTCGACCCAAGCGACAAACGGCGAGTGGAGCGAGTAGGCGGGCGTTGTTTCTGGTGATCTTGGACGAAGAACGTTACGAACAGGCTGCAGAAACACCGACGCGCTGGCTCACATCGAACGCATTCAAAAAATCACTATACCGTGCCAGCCTCGTCCCTCCCCTTCACTCCGGGATCCTGCAACCTTAGCCCATCGTTTTTCGCACCAATAGGATACAAACATGTACTTAAAATAGTACAATGTCGAAGAAAAGTCATGTCATGAGCTGTCAGCAGAACTACCGCTGCTTCATTCACTTATGCCATCAGAACAACGCATTTGCAATACGGCCTTCAGTACCCACGTATTGCATGGGTGTATATGTGCACGTGTGTGTGTGTGTGTGTGTGTATGTGTGAACCTTTTTTTTTGCTTGTGAGAACGAAAAGTAATTGATCGTTTTTTGTGGCCTACGCTAGGGGCATTATTGCGGGCTCTGCTACTATAATTCGAACTATTGCCTTCCGAAATAGCAGTACGCTTTGTCATATATAAATATAAAAAAAAACCCTCTTAGCCTAGAGTGCCTCACAACCTTTTGCCCTGAGTTCTCATTCGAGGCATGTGCAAACTTGGCCATGTAGCCACTTAACCGTCACGTGTGTCCTCGATATATTTTCACAATACAGCACTTTAGTCACTGTCCAATACAGGTATTAGAAAAAGAATATTAAGAATGACTTGTGTCCGATACTAACGCACAAATACGCTGAAGCGCTGTCTCAGACTGCTAAGGTGATCTTGGTCCAAGTCAAACGTGCTCATAGTCCTTATTTAGAACATTATTTTTCATAGTTTTTTTACAGACCGAACCCTGCACGTCCAAACCAACAAACGTAACATACGAACGCAAAACACTAGCACATACGTGAATATCATATTTTGAAAATTAGGACCGTTTATTGAAATGGCGACCCAATAATATATTCGATTTGATAATGGGTTATCCCAAACAGTGTTCCCTTAAAACTTCGACATGACCATGGCCGTTACCACGCAACGGAACTGAAACAATGTCATGACACGTGAAATCGCCAGACTCTTGGTGGTGACCACCACGGCAGCCGTCAACGGCTGCTCAGATGGAGGTACCTTCGCCTGCGTTTTGCGGTCGGTATACACTATTGGCGTCCATATCTATCTACCCGTCCTACGACCTGTCCATCCAGCAGGTTCGAGTAAATTCGTCGAGCGTAGAGGCTAAACTGTATTACCAAATGGGAGACCGCATTGTGATTCAATCCCGTACCGTTCCTGCTACTCTATGGCCGAACGAGAGCTATTCGCGTAGACGGATAGGTTGGGTGAAGTACAGTAAACTTCTGTCTCCCGTCATTTTATCTTGCTGAAGAGAAAGAGCCCGTACCATGAAAAGCTGAAGGGCGAACAAACATACGTCAGCCGCATTCGGACCCCTTCCAGTGAATGAATCAATGTTGATATTCTCTGTGGCCGTCTCTAAGCTCGTTTATAACGCACGATTTCGGGCCAAGCAGTAGCGTACCAAACTGGGCTACAAGTCTAGCTCGGATTCTGTCCTACTCACAAGGTCCAACGGACACCTCATAATAGCAGTAGTAACTGATGCATGAGCCTAATTCTAATTGGTAGCATCACTGACCGCTCCTTCGATAAGTTATTAATCCAATTTACAGAACCTTTTTGACTGGTGGCATTGTGTACCCTGTTATCTAAGCAAAGCGGTGTTATAGGATGTAGCCTGTAGTCAGATTCTATTCGACCGAGTTTCACATGAAATGGCCGAGCCCTAGCAGCTAATGTGCTCCGGCCATTCTGGTGTTAACACGGTCTTCGATCTTGGTTGGCAAAGGAAGCGGTCTACCGGCAGCTTCGTAATTGTGTGGACGTGCCGAGGGGCAGATCCCGCAGCGACAGGCCAGACCTTTTGCATCGTTATCCACTTTGCTATAGAAGCACTAGGAGAGTGTTTGCGAGCTGACTGGCAGATGAACCCATAGCGCCAGCTACACACCGGCCGTCTGTTTCAATACGGATTGACTTTTCCTACGTACCCATCGCTAATACCTATGGCGTACGCGAATATTAGACCCGCACACACAGAGAGATACCTTAGTACAGTGTAGGCTAAACGAACGCGTATTGTACGTTTCGTTAAACCTGAAATGGCGCAGGGTATGCGGGCGGCTTATGGTGGCCTTACGAGGGCTTTTGAATGAGCGTTGAAGGTTCTCAAATAAAATACATATAGCTATTAAGCCGACTGAGTAGCGGGACTGCGCACAAAACAGGTGTGGTCAACCTGTTAAAACAAACCTGTTTGTTGAATTAAAATACATATAAGACTGATAGCTTCATATACGGATTATCAATTATGTTTAGATGATATACGGTAAGGCAACATGTGAAACTTCAACGTAATTGAAGAGAATTGAATAACGTGGCACAGTGCGTATTTTACGTCATTAAATTCAGGGGCTCTTTGCTTGTTTTCTGTTCAACAGAGTTAAGCTTTAAACCAATCGTTTGCTTTTTCAAATGTAATTTACGTTTAAGTTCTATTTTTCACTTGGACCACGAATTGAAAGTTATCTACACAGTAGTTTATAAGTTACAGACGCGCAAATAAAGATTTATACATTTTATTAAAAAAAAAAGACTATATTGACGTCTTTCACTGAGAACTAATTCAACTGGCTATCGTCTCGTGCTAGCCTAAACGACTGGCGAAAATGTTGATTTTTAATTCAAAAAATTTGATCATTCAAACACAAAACGAATGTTTTATTCAAAGACGGAGGTTTATGGTCAGCTCTTTGGTTCCGCGACCAGGGGCTGGCGGAACATACTGGGCTATCTTTTCACTTCCGCCGCAAGTGACCTTTATGGCCCAGAAAACGGTCAATAGTTATGCAACGATGATGTTTTTCATCGACGGTATGTTTCATCATCTCACATTTTCCTTGTGTAGCAATAGCTGTGGTTATACAAGTTGAAAAGTTAGGTTACTGAACCCACCGAACGAGGCCAGATGCTAATTAGACCGCGAGTTGCACAGCACTTTCGGGATGCCGCTGAAGCTAACGAAAATAAGGCTCGAGGCCATCGTGTCTGTCGGCTACTGCCACAACCCAGATGATCAGAGTTTTTATCTTGAAACACTCCTCCATCGGGCAGTCGGTCAGTCAACTGATCCCCCCGAAACGTTTCCATTTATTGGCGCGCTGTCACTACAGCACCTCTAATAGAACGCAAGAAAACCCAGAGGAAGCAAAGCCGAAATTGCAGGTTTTTAGAGGCTTTCTGGCTGCGATTCTAGTTATCTTTACGGTTTTCGCCGGAAAACACTACTCAAGCATATTTCGAGTCTGAATGAGTCCGTTCTACTTCTGCTAAGTACCCTCTGACGCCACCCTAAGAATTCACCTTCAGATTTTCGAATCCTATAGACGGGATAGAGCGGAAACCCATAAGGATAGAAGAATCTGTGGAACAGTATTGCGGCAACGAAGGTGTATAGAGATTACTCAGCTATACATAGAAATTTTTGGAACTCTCAAAGGCCACGGCTATATTCACTCGGACGACCGGCGGGAACCCAAAATTATCCCTCACTATCGAACCGGGGGCACGGGAGGAAATAGAGAGGAAAATTGTCAGTCGAACCTTTAAAGATTAGAGATTTGCACGTTGCGGCTTTAGACAGGTAAATAAGAGACGGAAATACTTGAACAAGTCAACACAGCGCGTTAGAGAAAATAAAGGCTAAGAGATATTTAGTCGACGGTAGAAGCGAACGTACTAGGTAAAATGAATGAAAAAGATGATACCGGTAACATCTGATGTACATTTAATGCTTGTTCAATAAACCTAACCTAACCATAAAAAGGGGATGAATTTATCAAAAAAAAAAGTGAAGAAATGGTACTGATTAGCTCATCTAGGGCTTTAGCTTAGCTAAAGAGATAAAAATCAGCAGACCACACATATCATGGCATTGTCCCGAAGCATCGTTAAGTATCTATAAGTAGGCCAAGTTGGGTGGGCGTTACAGCTAGTGTACCTATTATATCGACTATTACGTATCGATTTAATAGAATAAACACACACAGTCTAATCAGGCCAGTTAATCACTCTAATTAAGGCTATTTATGACTAGATTCTCTAAAGACGCATCAGAGTTATGATAATATGCTATATTCCTCAAAAAGGCGATCCTGCGCTAGCTAGCTTTTGGTTGCAACAGCCCCATTGAGTTTGCTTTTTATCGTTTCCATATGTGCTTATGATATCAACTCGTTTTCTCTCTGGCTGACCAAATCCTCTGGTTTTTTGCACCCTATCCTGCTTTTCCATGGCACGCCTTCTACCATTTGTTGCGGGCTTGCGTAAGTTGACTCTTAAGGGCACCAGAGCTCTGAATAGTTAGAACGACGACAGGTTACAGAAGTTCATCTCTCCCCGATGTTTCTTGTTCCTGTTGTTGCGTTTATTGTATCGTGTTATTGCTCACGTTGTTATTGCCTCTGACAAAAAAGTAGGCTAACACATAGGCGGCGTGTGTATGTTTGCGTGTGAATTACTTAGATATTCATGGTGGATTAACGCTGATGCCGTTGTTTTCTGATTTTAATGATGATCGTGATTTCAGGATCAGCAAGGCGGTAGCAGTTCGGGGCGGCAACATGACGAGACTAATTCGCTGTATGGCACGCCGAAGGAGGAGATGGCGCCCGGCTTGGGCTTCGGCGGAGCGTCGGCGTGCGGCGGAGTCGTGGGTGGTGGCGGGGGTACCCCCCTGGCAGCGGGCCAGGAGGTCAAGGCTTCGTTCATGCGGAACCAACTGGAGGCGCTGTTCCAACCATCCGATAACAAGCTCGCCATGAAGCTCTTCGGCTCCAAAAAGGCGCTCATGAACGAACGCCAGCGCCAAAAGGCGGCCGGACACTGGATCATTCATCCTTGTTCAAATTTTAGGTGCGTACTTTAACTATTATGAGTCACTGTGGCTATAATTACCTGACCAATAGGCACGACATTGATTATCCCCACTAACACACTCGCAGTAGCGGCCACCGCCAGCAAAAGGGGTTTTACAACTGTTGCCATGAGCAATCGTGATCCTCGGTAGCAGTACATTAATAGGCCAACTATCTCCATCAACATGCGCGCTACTGTTTAATATTAGCCTGCTAACTAATTACATTAACATTAATATGACTAACCTGCTAGGCCAGATAGAATTAATCAATGTACTGTCCATAACACGACGCGTCTTAATGTAGACACGTTAGGCTAATGCATTTTATTAAACTCGCAGCTTCTGGACTTCACAGCCTGCCCTGAGGTTGACAATGACTGCGTGACTTCATATCGCCGTGTCGCTTCGACGCCAATTGCTAGTAAAGGGTTTATAGTAAGGAATATTGTTTTACAATTGCTGTCCAGTTCGATTCACGATATGCACATGGGTTTGCTGCTCGCCTAGTATACTTCTATCTAGAAATTCGGGTTTGCCTTACTTTAGCTCTTCACAAGAAATTAAGAACTTTAGAGGAAGTGTCTTGTAGTAGCACATTGACAAACACGCGGTATATAAGTAGACAATAAGCATTCTATTAACCAACGGAAAAACAGCCTTTTTTAATAAATGGCTTTGGAAAACTTATTTGGTAATAGGCATACTGCTAACTTAATATTCTAGCTAGTACTGGAAAACGATCACTTTCACAACGTCTTTGAACTTGTGCTGCCTGAATCAGTTACTCTGCGCCATACTGATATCGACGTCCCAACAGTTACAGACGAGTATTGTAAAAATCATCAGCAAAATACAAAAAATCAGCAACTGTGAAACGGTCCAAATATGTGGTATATTCTTTTAATAATTATGCATTCACTATATATATTCAGTTTTAAAATTCGATGGAAACTCTTCGTAAAATCAATGCATATTCCCTGTTTCTACACGGCTTCCTCGAAGTGTACGATAGAGTGATGTTTGGTGTAACTGTTAATTTATCACAAAATGTACTATTTTCTTCATACTAGAATATAACCGCATCGGTATAATAAAACACCTGACAATGAAGAACGAAAATGTCTGCGACGTTGATTTAGGCCTATTCGGATCCAGTACAGCTTCGTATGGATTACACGTACGGATTGATTATGGATTTGCCCGCGTACGATTAACAGAGAAAAACCGAGTTGCAAATAATTAGTAGTAGTCAAGGTCTTCATATGGCGATACCGATTACTGCGTACGAGACGACGACCAAGATGCTATCGAGCCCTAAACAGACAATGACCCCATGCTCGTGCACTTTCTTTGGGACTTTTTTTACTGGGCCTCACCGAAGAATAGGATTGTGATGTATTTTATACCGGAAGGCGAACGACTGCAATTTAAATCAAATGGGCAATCACATGTGTTTATAATGTTTGGTTCATAATCTATATAAAGCTATTACAAAGAAAGGCCTTTGTGAAACTCATTGTAAAAATTCAGGCCGAATTAGGTTACCCACGTACCCTGCTTGACCCGCAACTCAAAACAAATAGCCCAAACGGCCTAACTTCTCCTAATAGGCCCCTAGGCAAAAAGATTTCTGATGTCTGTTTCTTCACGCCTACAAGTCAGCTTCGCAAACAACTCTCCTAACATCGCTACGCTCGCTAAAACAAACGTTTATGTTTCCTGAAGGTGCAATTTAACTACGAATTCCTTAAACTTCCAGATCATACCCTTAGGCTTAATACAGCAATTTTAAACTTATAATACTAAATAATAATACACTTTTAAACAATTAGAACTATTTACGTTGTTCTTCATGGCCTATGTGGACTACACGCTTATCGCCAATACATCAAGCCGGTCAAAAAGTAATTTTGACAACTTGATAATTTGGACATTTCCGGTCCGCAGCTTGACACGCTGCTTCTTAGCCTTCCATGTACTGTCCACATTTTGACTAGGTCAAACCTCCTCTGCCTTCGTCCTCTACAGTTTATAATACAACTAATATCCGACACTGACTAGTTCGCTACTTCAGTGTCTCCTGAGGGCACTGCCGCTAAAAAAATCCTACCTCCCTAAAAATGGGCAGCAGAAACGAAAAATGATGTCTTACGACAACGTTCGATACAGGAACGGGGTGAAGCCGTCGACCACCTTAGAGGACGCAGTGAGGCCTGAAAGGTATGTTGTGCTATAAGCTTCTGGATAGCAGTGCACTGGCGAACAAAGATTACCACCCTGTTTAACTGGTCAAATAAAATAAAAAAATAGCCCCCAGAGAAAAGAAGGGACCGTGCAAAATGACTTTGCCGTGTGACAAGACTTTTGTTTTCGTGCGGCTTTCGCGATCTGGAACATAGATCGTTGTTTAGACTCTTTTTTTTTAGCGTTCCACGTTATAAGCGCGTGGATTAGTGTGGCGGATAACTACTTTTCGGATTGACGCAACGCGGTCTAGAAAACAAACGGCTGAAATAAAGAAAAGGCAAACATTTAAGGCCAAATATCCATAATTGTTTTGTTGGTGACTAATCTGTTTGTTGTCCGAAGGGTAGTAAAGTCGACACGACTACCAAATAGATTTAACAAGAAAAACAAGTTTTTTTTTTTCCAAAATTAAACAGTTCCTAAACAGACGTGAATAATACGACTGGTGCAATATAAATGCCAATAGTGTCTGTAAGAAATTTCAGATTTTGTAGAAATGTGAAATTCTGCCTTTCATTGTAGCCGACGAATATCTTGATATTTATCGTTCGTCTGTTTTGCAAATCTAATTCATACCAATTGAACCGCTGTCTTCGCCTGGGGTAAGCCGATAAGAAGCTCGGCCCCCGGGGGTGAAAAAGATTTGCGCGAGAAGACCTCAATAGAAATATCCACGTAAATTATAAAAGCCTTCTGCCCAATGCCATCTTAGCGCCTAACGAAATTGTTCGCGGACGTTCCCTAACATCTCTCAAATGTATTTTGATTTGATGAATCGAAAAGCATAAAATTCCATTAGAACTTCCAGAAGTTCCATGATTAAGATGGCTTTGCATACGCTAAACGATTTGGGTAGATTTTAAGTTTTACCAGGTAAAATCGAATTTCGCTATTATCAGATTAATGATAATTTTCATTTTCAAGCATATCTAGTTAATGTTCTCTACTCGTACCGTATTCCTAATTTCGTTAATTTTGGTATTTTCAATTGAACGATTCGTAATCGACCATTAGCCTTGCCACAACGTAATAAATCCGAATACTGATCGCCTTTTGATCAGTCAATTATACCGCACTTATATAATTAAGTTCCCTATATGAATCGAGAACACCCTCAAAAAAAAACTAACAACTGTGCGTGACGATATCTACGAATAATTATGAATTAGTAAAAGACTCTGACCAAGCAAAAATAACAAACGATAAAAAATCCATATACAGAGCTCCGCATCAATGAATCAAGCTATGCTGAAGACTAGCTATTGCATCCAAACAACTGGAAAACAGCTTAGTTTAGACTTTTAGTCGCAGCTTTACAAAGGGCTAAGGTTATTGTGTCAAATCGGCCATACCTTATTCGAGGATACCCCCACGTGTCAATGATTCATACCCTTATACTTGTTCATTTAATACGTTGAAATTTACCAGCTGCACTATATTTATACCTCTTTTAACCATAATCGAACCTTTTATTATTATAGATTTCACACATCATTTGTCGTTTAGTCCTGCATTGTAATCTACCTTGAGCTGTACATATATGCTTAGGCCTAAATTGGTTGGTTTCTATAAAATAAATAAGGTATTCGTGTGCGCCCATGGCGCTGTGGAGTATCAAGAGGCAAAGTACTTACTATTAGAGAGAATCTGGAGTCAAGCAAAAGAAAAGCATTGAGCCTAATGGCGGATAGTGCTTTCGGCCGGATCAAGTCTGATCGTAGACGCTGGCCCATGGGGTGTCTAATCTTGGTTGTTGAGTCAATTACTTGAACCTCCTCAGAAAAATTAAGGCAAAATAAAAAACAGTTTAATAAACCTATGCCCGTGACCGGAAAGGACGACCGGACCAATGGCAGAGAACTCAAAGGAGAGAGAGAAGATCCGATTTTTTTTTACACGCTAACATAGTATACTAGAAGGTAACGATATAGGCGTATATGCGATATTCAATGATTTATAGGGACTCACCTTTGCAAAGCAGAATTAGAATTTTATACGTGCTATGCATGACTTAAGGTATCGAATTTATCCGAAATAGTTTCAGCGATAACACATACACTCATGCTAATGAGCTCGAGTGCCTATATCACAATCATCCTTGCACTCTTTTAAGGCGAGGCTACCTAAATCTGGACAGGCCCAAATGACCGTTTTAAGGGAATTGTATTTAGCCAACTGGGCAGTAAAGACCAAGCTATTCTGGGACTATATGTGGTTGTTTCGAGCGCCAACTCGATTCAAAGTATATTACATCAACTATATACGAAATACTGGAACTCGCTATTTTCTGACTAATACGATAAACCATCGAGCCAATACATCTGTATAAAGTGGTACGACAAACCACAAGTCTGAAGTTTAATCTTATGCATTTGCGACCACAGTAAGTTTAATAGTGCAAATGGAACAAGTTTGCTTATTGAAACTTCCGATAATATCACGCAATGTCATAGCAGGCATGACGTAGAGCGATCATTAGCTTTTTCTCGTCGTTTACCGACTAAACGTGAACGAGTCAAAAATAGGCAAGCTACTTGGTTGTTATTGGAGATCAATGCGTCGTAAGCCACGCTAGAAATAGCTTAGGATCGGAGAATTTGCCATTAGAGAATAAATGTATATAAATCTACACACTTAACATGAGTTATATGCAAAATATGAGATATAAGACGCAGCTGAGGTTCGACTGACTACAAAATAGGCTCAAAGGAAATTGCTGTTCGGAGATGCCTCAGAAAGGTATGAAGGA